TGCCTGTCCTTGCTGGCAGCTCTGTGGCCACAGATGTTGGAAAGTCACTCTTGGACCACCCAAATCACCAGCCTCCCTCTGCATCGTGAGTAAGGCTGGCTGCATCTGACAGGAGCTTTCTTCTGCGTGCTTCAGTAGCGTCCCCGTGATCCTCTGGCAGCCAAAGATGTAGGACCCATCTTGGTGAACCCTTGGGATGGGATGCCTTTGGCTCACGTCCAGGCTCACCTTCTTCACCCTTGCTCCCCTCTCACCACGGGGTCTTTTGACCAGCTCTGCCACCGTCTTGCCTCTGTGCCCATCCTGGTAATCTGGGCTCTGTGACTGCAGGGGAACATCACTGCTCACACCCCTACTCCCTTGTCCCTGGATGTGTGCATGGGGACTCATGTGAGCTATAGCTCCCTCCTCCCCTAGAAATAAGCCACTTGTTCTCTTCTTAACCAGTCACATCCTCTTGGATGGTCCAGCATCTTGTTGTGGGTACATGCCCTCATGGAAACTGTCTGGCATATCCCATGGAGCTGGACACAACCATTTTAAGGACAGAAGACTTGTGCAACTACTTGGTGCATGCCCCTGGCACGGGGCCTGGGGGTCCTGGTGGGAGAAGAGCCAAGGGCACTGTGGCCATGCAGGGCTGCTGATACTCCTGCCCTTTCTTTCCTGGCTATCAATATTTACTGGTTTGTTCCCACAGATCTCTGGAAAATACATGGGAAGCAGGGTGAATGTTATCAGCTGCTCTATTTGCAAGTATGTGTTCAGAAGGAATGATTAACCCACAACATTCTTCTGCCTTCCCTTTGTAAAGCCCTCAAGAATATCACAGCTCCCAAAGTTGCACAGGGTTGCTGGTAATCCTGTTAACCTTTGGGTTAATTAAGCAAACTGGAATCCTTCATTAGGAGGAACGGTACTAATTGCATATCCCTGAGGGTGAGTTTTGCGTGGACCACTGGCTGTCAGAGCAGAAACCACTGCTGACTTCAGCAAGGGGGCTGGGGAGTTACTGGTGGTTTGCTTGAGAGAGGAGGTCAAGAAAACCTGCTTTCTCATCATACTGGACCAGCTGGTGTTTGCTGGAGGGGGGGGATGTGCACGGGGAAGATGTGGGACAGTGGCACTGTCCTGCAGAGATTCTGTGCAAGGCAGAAAGTGTCGAACTGCTGGTACCTGGCTCTTGAGCTGACCTTAGTTTCCAACCTAAAAATTCAATCCTTTAATGGCATGACATGATAAGCAGCTCTGGACAAGGGGCTACAGTGTGCAGCTGGGCTTAGCGCTCCATGCTGGGAAGAGCTGCTTAAAATGGACAGAGAGCTCTTTGTTTGCTGTGTGTGGTTTAGAAATTAAGCAATACTTAGGAGCAAATATTGGTTCAAACAACATCAGCTCCCACTCTCCAGTGGCCAGTTCAACTCATCTCAGGTAGAAAACAGCATATTGCAACACAGTCAAAACCTGACACCAAGCATTTCTCCTAACCAGCAGGGAAACTGGTTTGTGGCATTTCTTGAAAAAATAAATTAACCTCAATGACTCTGGAGTTGGAGCACAGCCTCAAAATTGGCCCATAGGTGCAATCAGGGTCTGAAAGTGTGTTTCTGGAAGGACTGGCACAGCTTTCCAGGTATCCCTCAGGCCCTGGGAGCCATGCGGAATGCTGAGCTGGACATTCTTGCACAGCTGGACTCCCACGGTGCATCTTACAGCTGCTGCAAGCCCCATGTCAACCCAGGCTCCAGAGGACAATGACTCCATCTTCCAGGACAGAGCCAGCATTGGGTAGGAGGGCTGGGATTTCCCTTAGATCCTTACTCTGACCAGGTAAGCCAACCCTGCAAAAGCCCCCTGACTTCTCCCTGCTCCTCCCAGGTACCTGAACATTGAATCACAGATTGGTTTGGGTTGGGAGAGGATCTTTAAAGGTTGTCTAGTCTACCCACCTTGGTAGGTGACGGGCAGGGACATCTTTCAGTAGGTGAGGTTGCTCCAAGACCCATCCAACCCGGCCTTGAACACTGCCAGGGATGGGGCAGCCACAGCTTCTCTGGGCAACCTGTGCCAGTGCCTCAGCACCCTCACAGGGAAGAATTTCTTCTTTATATCCAGTCTAAATCTACCCTCTTTCATTTTAAACGTGTTGCCCCTTGTCCTGTCACTGCAGGCCCTGGTAAAAGGTCTCTCTCCATCTTTTCTATAGGCCCCTTTTACATACTGAAAGGCCACAGTATGGTTTCCCTGGAGTCTTCTCTTCTCCAGGGTGAATGACCCCAATTGTCTCAGCCTTTCTCCATAGCTGAGGTGTTGAGCCCTCTGGCTGTCTTTGTGGTTTTTCTCTGGAATGGCTGTAACAGATCCATGTCTGTCTTCTACTGGGAGGTCCAGAGCTGGATGCAGGACTGCAGGTGGGGTCTTACCAGAGCAGAGTGGCAGAATCACCCCATCACCTCCTGTGACCTGCTGGCAGTGCTGCTTTGGATGCAGCCGAGGATACATTTGGCTCTCTGGACCACACAATTGCACAGTGCCAGCTTATGTCCAATTTGTCATCCGCCAGTATCCCCAGATCCTTCTCTGCTGGGCTGCTCTCCATCCATTCACCACCCAGCATCATCCTCTCCCATCTCTTGAGATGAGCAACACTGAGTTCAGTGCTAGTGTCAGTCCTGTGTCCCACCCTGGGCTATTGACAGAGGAGCAGGGAAGATGGCTGAGGAAAATAGGTTCCCATTGGCTGCTCTTCTTGCCCTCACCTGCTGCGATGTGACCTGTGTGGTCAGGACAGGACAAGAACTTGTTCCCAGCTTTTGTGGTAGCCCATGTTTATGTCCTTGTAGGCAGGCTCCAGCCTTCTCCAAGCCACAGACTTAAAAATACCCATTTCTAGAGGGAAACAAGTCAACTTCATAGACAAGCCCAAAGTCCCAGTGAGTGTATATTGCCCTCTGCCCTCAGCTTATCCCACCTCAAGGTTAATTTTATTCTGTTTTTCTTTTCTTCCATTTTCAGTGTTTTTTATCCTTAATATCTCAAGGTGAGCTGGGTCTTCATCACACAACTGCCAGCCTGGTGACATCTGGGAACATGAGCATTATTTCCAAAGGCCTCACTGCTGGATAGGAGCACCTCTACAGAAATAACTGCCCCAAAGAGCCGGGTCAGATTCCTGTGTTGGTGTGGTGCCTTGATCGCAGCTTTCCCTCTCCCCTGTTAACGTTTTCTCCACATGCAGACACAACTGGATCTCAGGTCCAGCGTCTTTACAGCTGCATTGGCTCCAGAATGAGCTCTGCATGGGGAGCAGCCAGCATCATGATTAAAGCCAAGCCTTCTCCTTGACAGTTGTGCCTCCTCTAACTTTATCCCAGCCCAATTACAATGAATGTCCTTTCCTTAGTATGCAACCAAAACTCCAGTCTAGCCTTGTCTCAGCCACAAACCACAGCGTACACATATGGGGTTGCAGTAATAAGGGAGATGTAGAAACAAGCAGTATTATTTTACCTTCAATTTTACTTAGCGTGGGGCCAAGCCCTGTTGTTTCCTTGGGGTTTGAATGTGTTTATCACCATCACTAATGACCTGTGGTTGGCCAGAGGGTGTGTTAATTTGTGTTTCTTCATCATCTGTGTAATTTTTAGCATCATCCTTCTTCTGAAAACAGAACAGCCAGGATCCAAAGTGTTGCAATACAACGAACTTGTGATGTGTAATAATAATTCAGCTTGTTTCATGAAGATGTACTATAGAAGCCTTGATGCTTTCTGGATAACAAGGACAAAGTCTGAGAGGCACTGGCTTAGCTCTGTCCTTCCTGGTAAAGCTGGTCCTGCTTGCATGAGCCAGAGCATTGATATCTTACTTTGAAAGACAACAAGAATGTCTATCATTAGTAAGAACTGGCCCTTGCTGTTCAATCTTGGCTTAGCCAGATACATGTATTTTGACATGGGAGGAGCTCTCTTTTTGCACAAAACCATGCACCCAGGTAGTGAGGTATGGATCTAGCTAGAACTTGCAAAAGCATATGTGTGTATTTAGTGAGAGAGAAGACCCACTGTGTGAATAGAAGAGCATTTTCTAACACAACTCAGGGCGTTTCCAGCCAACCTTAGCCAAGAACCTGCTGTGGATAAGCCCATGGAACTGCTGCATGGAGGGTGCAGGCTATTGGAGAGGAAGGACCTGTGCAGGAGATCCAGAAGATCAGAAAGGGAGGCTGGTGTTCCTGAAAGCCAACTGAGGAGCTGGACCTCACCACTGGGCTTCATACAGCACTCTTGTAGCTTGTGTTTGGTGGACATGCTGGGTGGGCCAGCCCCCAGTGCTGTCTAGGGACGCTGTTAGGGCTTGTGGGTTAACTGATGTGGTCAGGGACTCTCATTTAGTGTGCATGTGCCAAAGTCAACCTGAAGCTGGTCTTGTAGCCTGTAGCAAAGATCAGGACAGCCTTTTCAGGACAGATTGAGCCTGGGGCAGCATCACAAAGGCAGACCTTTGTAAACCTAGCCATGCCCCACTGGTCCTGGCTGCAGGGAGATAAATCAGGAGTGGTACAGTCAGGTGGAGAGGTTTTGCAGAGGAAGGGGGAGGAAAGTGACTGCTACACTCAGCATTTCTTCCTAGGTTCATCCCAAGAATTTAACAAAGGTGCAGTGTGATGTTTCCTGCTGGCTGCAGGGCATTTATTGAGCTGGCTGCTCATTGCCGTTGACCCTCCTTGCCTGTGCAAGGAGTTTGCCAGATCATGTGGAAGGATCATTTACTGCCTTTCAACCCCATCGCCAATGAACTCAGTTTGCTGCAAGGCAAAGGGCGACAGGCACAACAGCAGCAGTTACTGGCAAGCATGAAAAACTCAGGGCTAGATCCAGCAGGGACTTTGAGAGATCCGGCTGTGCAAGACAGGGGGTGGTCAGCACAAAAAGAGCCTCTCCTGCGGTGTTTCAGCCTGCAGGGGAATTCAGATGTCACAGCTTGGGAATTTTCCATTTGAAGCCCCTTGGAAAAAGAAAAACACCTTGCCCTGCTCTGACTCCCGCCTGCAAAAGGGTTCAGTGCCAAATTGAAAGGCTTCCTAAAAATGGGCTGATCCAGGGAGGGGGGCGATTTAGGAGCTATTGAGAAACAAGGAAGAACAAACAGTGTTAGGTCATTGCTTCTGCAAACACAGCCAGAGCTGTTCTTCTATAAAAGGGGGAGAAAGCAGCTCCAGAGCCATCACAGACTTGGAGGGGACAGTCTGTGACCAAGGATACTGCACCCCCTCCTCGGCACCTGACTCCCTGCCCAAGTATGAAACTCATACTCTCCACTGTGCTGTCCTTTGGGATAGTGGGTAAGTGCCTCCTGAAAGCAGTTTTTGGGGAAAGAGAGAGTCAAAACCTCCCAGGACCCCCAGCTCTCCCCTAGACGAGGCTGTTTTAGAGCTGCAGCACATGCCAGCTGTAAAGTAGAAGCCAGGATGTAAAGCGATGCTTGCTTTGGCAGCTGCGGATCTCTGTCAACAAGGATGGCATTTTGGGCATTAATGACAGCCAGCTTTTTCCTTGGACCAGCCCACAGAGGTCTGCAGCTCCCCACAGTAAGCTGCTGGGCACCCAGCTGACAAGGAGAAGGGAAGCTCGGCATCTATTACTGGGGAGGAGACTGCTCTGGAGAGGCTTCACACCTCTGCTGTTATGGGACAAAGGGAAAAGTCACCTTAGAGCAGCTGCTGTGTTGGGAGAGGAGCTGTGTCAGCCAGCGAGGGAGAGAAACCAGAGTGAGACCTGCCTGTCAAGCCTGCGTGTGTGTTGGGTTAAACCTGAAGGCAGTGACAATAAAATAGAGCTTAAACAGCAACAGACCCCCCCCAGACTCTCAGTGCTCCCCACTCTGCTTCTGCTCCGCTCTGTCTTGCTGCTGCGGCTGCACTATGCTTGGGCTTCTGTGTATTTTGTGCCTAAATTGTGCCACTGAAGAACTAGCTCTGCTTGAAGCCATTCTTTCCCTCCCCTCTCTCTCTGCTCACAGCTTTGGCAGGCAATGGGCAAGTAGACACAGCAAGGAGATTGCTGCCATCTGCACCTGACCTGGGGACCAGTAACC